AAAGTGGTGTGGATCCGGCGGCGTTTATTTCAAAGATTTTTCAATAATGTGCTTATCGAAGCAGCAAAATGCCTCATTTATGTTTAATAATTGAATTTTTTAGAAGCTACATATTTCTTTAGGCACGCGTATCCTTTTATGCTGATTATACACTTTTTGGGGCTTTAACGTGCTTATCAAAGTGATTGCTCGCTTATCGAGATGACTATGAGATTATCGAGGTGATTGCAATCTATGTGATTAAAACTTATCGATGAATGATATACATCTCATAGTAATATATTTATTGCAATCATGACACACATGTTGAAACAATAATATGCATTTTGAGGTCGATACACACTTATCAAGGTAGCATCAATCTTTGAAATAATATGTTTGTCAAAGTAATGCCTCATTTTCAATATGCTTAGAGGTTTTCAAATAGTGACATGTTGTTTCGGAGTGATAGCGCACTATGTTAAGAAATGTACATTTTGAATTTAAAGCCATGCTTAGCAACATTTTACTAATTATGAGACTAAGCCATAAATTTCAAATTAATTTTATCATTGCCATCTATTGATTTCATTATTATCATAGCTACCATGGCTATTTATGGAAGAAAGATGAAGCAAAGTAAAAAATCCATCTTCTTTCTTTATCACTCAAAATCCCATCAGCTTCATTTGGAGCATGCCAAAATGTCTCCAATTTAAAGCATATAACATAGGCTTTATTTTGAATTTTATATTAATAATTTAATGAAAAGATGCTCAAACCATGGCATATGACTCCTCATTGTAAGCCAAATATTTTTTTCAAACTCTTGAAATTTTTAAATGAAGGTGATTAAATGCCCTCAACTTAGAAGAACACTAACTTCGCAAGAGAGATATGATACTCAAATCCAAAATCCTCCCTAATGTTGAGTACAAATAAAGCAAGTGTCTTAAAAGCCAAGTGCTTCAAAGCATCATAAATGATTTGTGTAATTTGGATCCAATCAAACTTCTCCTTTTAATAAATGGCTCTTTATTTTTTGATTGATAAGAATTAAAATCTGTTAAATACACCAACAATAAAAAAAAATGTTTATGTTTTAAGATCAAAGTTGCTAGAAACATAAATCCAAATGTTATGATCAAATACTTTTGTCACTTCATCTTTATAGAAACATTTCCAAAGAGTTTCCCCCATACCACCATGAGCCAAAATACATAGCATAGAAATATTGCCATACAAAATAATTTGATATTCAATTGATTGATTTTTTTTTTTATATTAATAATTCAATTTCTGCTCAAGTATTATTCATAAATTATTTAATTTAAGTCTAAGAAATCTCTCAAAATATTTTATTTGAGCTCAAGAATTATCAAATTATTTTATTTAAGCTTTTGTCATCAAAATTTTGGCAGCATCCCGGCGTCTCCCCTGCGTAGGGGAAAATTTCAGGAGTCTGGGCCTTCCCTTCGACGCTACATGAGCGCTTCGAGTAGGTGTTGGATGACACCGCGGCCATATTTCTTCAATCCTCGTCACGCTCCATGAGCACTTCGAGATTTACCCGCCTCGTCGCGAGCGTCGCACTTGTTTCCCTCACTACTACGAACAATTATTAGGTTAGGTGACCTGACGTAGCGCTACGTTCGGACGCCAATAACATGTCTCCACGTGCTCTTAGTCTATACCGCACCCGACGACATGACCCGGACCGGAACAGGGGATTGCTATGTTCGTGTACTGCTAGGCATTGCTCGGTATTGCTCGGTATTACTAGGTATTGCTCGGTATTGCTAGGTATTGCTTGGCAATAACGAGAAATACCGCTCTGTGAAGACCAATACCGAGCAATACCTAGTAAAACTAGGTATTAGTCTTCACATAATGGTATTTCTCGTTATTGCTGAGCAAAATCGACCAATACCTAGCAATACCGAGCAATACCTAGCAATACCGGGTCGTCATGGATTTAAAATACGCATGTGCAGCATACCCACTATTCTCTGGGTCGGGTCCGTGATATTGTGCTTCTACGTGGCGCTATATCAGTGGTGACTGAACGTAGGTAGTGCTACGTCAGGTCACCAGACCAAATAAAAGTTCCACTACTACACTACGTGAGCGCATAGGGGGTTCTCCATCTCGTTGCAAGCGTCAACAACGGAATTTGAGATTTTAGAGTTTGGCGAATGATATACCTTGACGAGCGAGCGAGGTGACGGTGACAATAGAGATTCGCGGCGAGAGGTTGAAGTTTTTTTTTTTTTTTTTTTAATTTTTTTTTTTTTTTTTTTTTAATTTCTTTTCTGATTTTGTTTTAAATTTATCTCGCCTTATAAGCCGAAAAAATTTTCAGTTATAGTGCATCACAATTTACGTGTCGTCATCGCCTCCTAATTTATGCTAAATTTTATATTTCGGCTCATTTAAAGATTTAGAGTACTAATAAAGATAAAATACTTCTCAGGTGGCCTATAAGCAGTGATGCACGGCATCATTCGCCCCCACCGTGAAAAGAATCGGAATACAACGATTTAATAGTAAGTGGACAGTCATCTGGGGGAATGTAAGCAAAAAGGTCAGCAACATTGAATGTATGGGATGTAGTGAATTCGGCCGGAAGATCGACGACGTAAGTATTGTCATTGATCTTTTTAGTTATAGGAAATGGCCTCCATTTTCTCCTACTTAGTTTTGAATGTGGACCTAGCGGCAGTCATTCCTCGATACGAACATAAACCAAATCTCCAGGATTGAAGATTTGTTCTCTTCGATGCAAATCCGCAGCTGATTTATAATTCTGAAATGAATCCTGGAGCTTGAGGCGGACCTCCGATAACAGTTTGACAAATTGATCACAGTTCCGTGAACGTACAAGAGGCTTTGCTTTGGCTTTTGGAAAGAACTGCAACGTCAAGAATAATATTAGGCATTTTGGTATAAACAATATTAAACGAACACATACAGTGGACCGATTAGTCATAGAGTTGTACGCAAATTCAGCTTGACCGAGTATGTCATCCCATAGTTTTGGGTGTTCTTGGACATGGCAGCGAAGGAGATTGCCGAGTGTTCTGTTAACCACTTTGGTCTGTCCATCCGTTTGAGGATGATAAGCCTAGCTCAATTGAATATGTGTATTCATGCGTTTCCACAGCTCCCGCCAAAAATGACTTATGAACTTTACATTTCAGTCGGAAGTGAGGCTTCGGGGAATACCATGAAGACGTACCACTTCTTTAAAAAAAAACGCTTGGCTATATTAAGGGCGTTAAATGTTTTTTTACACGCAATGAAATGCACCATTTTTTGAGAACCAATCCATCACAACCATGATAGAATCGTTACCTCGCTTTGTCCGTGGAAGGCCCAACATGAAATCCAAACTTAAGTCTTCCCATACAGAGCCTGGAATGAGCAACGGCTGATACAATCCAGTATTCTGTCCTCCGCCCTTGTAACTTTGGCACACCGAGCACCTTTGCACGTATTTGGTCACATCTCTACGTGAGGCAAAAAAAAAAAAAAAACGTGTCTGTAATTTTGCAATGGTGTTATCGCACCGCATATGTGCTACCAATCATCCCACATGAGCTTCATGGATTATAAGTTGCCTCCACGATGATTTCGGTATACACAGCAGCCCATTTTTTAAAAGAAATCCTTGTCGCATAGAATACTCTGCTACTGGCTCATGGTTTTTGCATTTTGACCAAACATCATGGAAATAGCTATCATCAGGATATAACTCCTGGATACACTCTAACCCCGAAAATTCGTTTGCAATTGGGTTAAAAGAATAACCCGTCGGCTCAATGCATCAGCTACCCAATTTTGGGTTCCACTCTTGTCTTTTAACACAAAGGTGAATTTTTGTAAAAATATGATCCAGCGAGCGTGCATCTGGTTAATGTTCTTTTGAGTATTAATATATTGGAGGGCCTTATGATCGCTACAAAGAACGAAATCTTAATGTAGCAAGTAGTGTTCTCACTGTTTCAATGCTCGGATAATAGCATATAGCTCCTGTTCGTAAACAGTCCATTTATGTCTGGAAGGGCTTAATTTCTCGCTGAAGAATTCTACCAGCTTGTTATCTTGGGACAACACGACACCAAATCCCAACATAGAAGCGTCCGTATCCACTATGAATGGCTTATCAAAATCAGGCAATGCAAGGACGGGTGCAGTAGATAAGGCATCTTTGATCAATTCAAAACTCCTCTGCTGCTCCTCTGACCACGAAAAGTGTGGCTGTTTTAGGATATCAGTGATTGGGGCCATAACCACACTAAATCCCTTGATAAAACGCCAATAAAAATTTGCCGACCCATGAAAACTACGAACATTAAAAAAAAACTACGAAGCGTCGGCCAATCTTTGATGGCAACAATTTTCCCTGGATCAATCTTTACTCCTTCAGCCGAAATTAAGAAGCCAAGAAAAGCTACCTGTGGAGTTGCAAATTCACACTTTAGGATGTTCAGATATAGTTTGTTGTGCCGCAATGCCTCAAAAATCGATGACAAGTGCTGTATGTGATCTTCCAACGTTGTGTTGAAGACTAATATGTCGTCGAAGTATACAACGCAGCACTTATTTAGGAACAACTTTAAGACTTCATTCATTAGCCTCATAAAAGTCGCTGGTGCATTGCACAAACCAAATGGTATGATCTTCCACTCGTATAAGCCTTGGCTAGTTTTAAATGTTGTCTTCCACTCGTCGCCAGGTCGAATTCGGATTTGATGATAGCCACTCCTCAAATCCAATTTGGAGAAGATTTGAGCTCCCACCAATTTGTCTAACATATCTTCCATCCGCGGCATCGGAAAATGAAACTTAACCGTAATCTTGTTTATGGAGCGACTGTCTATACACATCCTCCAGCTACCATCTTTCTTTGGCACCAACAGGGCGGGCACTGCACAAGGGCTGAGGCTCGGTTTTATTAACTGCTTATCTAGGAATTCATTAACAATTTGCTGTAGGATCTTGTGCTCGTTCGGGCTCATTCAGTAGTGCCGTAAGTTTGGCAATGTCGCTCCAGGAGTTAATTCAATCTCGTGTTGAATTGTTCTAACTGGCGGTAGCTCGGCCAGCAACTCAGGCGGTGCAATGTCTTCAAATTGTTGTAACAGTTGGCTGATACAACTTGGCAAGGCATGTGACCCCGTGGTGGCGTTCTGCTCCGTGACTACCAATGTCATGATGCAATCCGTGTCCTTCCAGGCATTAAGCAAAGCCTTTCGGGTAACAGAAAACAAGGCTGTTTTACCATTTGATGAGTTATTTTCCTGGTCTGGGGAACGAGGCAACAATCTCAACTTCTTACCCTTCCAATCAAAGGCGTAAGTGTTTGCTCGACAATCATAGATTGCCTCAACATCAAATTGCCAAGGTCTCCCAAGTATCAAATGGAAAACATCCATGTCTACAACGTCACATAGAATTTCACTTACATAGTAACGGCCAATGGATATTGATACTTTGCACATATCCGTCACCGCGATCTCCATTCCCTTCCTCACTCAGCTTATCTTATATGGATTAGGATTTTTGGTGGTTTTAAGTTGTAAGGCTTGAACCACAGCGCGAGAAATAACGTTCTATGTACAGCCACTGTCAATGAGTAAATCACAGACTTGCCTGCATTTGGTTTTAAACAAGGCATTACGTTGTGTTTTGACGGGTTTTCGTGGAGCTAGAAGCAATTTTTGTAACACACAAATTAGAGGATCGCCTTCGTCTCCCGCCATATCTTCTGCGTCTTCATCAACTTCCACATTACTGCCGCCAGGTTCTTCCTCTTCTTCGCCATCCAATAACTGTATATGTGCCCGAGTCGGACACTCATTGGACTTGTGCCCCACTTGAAAACATCTAAAGCATTTAATACCCGAAGGTTTGGCATAAAGATTTTCCCGTAAAGTGGCTTTTCCTTTTTGAGATTCCTTGGGATCAAAATTTTCTTCCCAATAGCAGTAGTTGAATTGGTGGCCGTTGGAGTAAACATTGGTCTGTTAGTAGCTGTGGTGTTATGGGAAACCTGCTTGCCGAAGTCAGCTGAATGGTGAGAATCAAAGGTTCTCCTATTCGGCCTGTTATGGGCTTGCCGTTGTAGCTGAGTCTCCACCTTAAGATCATAATTGACGACTTGTGACAACGACCAAACCAAATTTAATTCAAGTCAGTCCTGAATTGCTTCCTTTAATCCTCCAATATGCCTTCGACCAATTGATTATCATATTCATTGAGGTTATTTCGCGCCCTCAATCAATAGAACTCCTCCGTGTAATCATTTACCGATCTCGAGCCCTGCGAAGTGTTGGTACTGCATATATAGCATTTGTTCAAAATCTATTGGAAGAAAATGGCCTCTTAGTAATTGCTTCATTCGGTGCCATCTCCGCACAGTGCCCTTTCCTTCCCGCCTCCTAGATTGAATAATTTGTTGCCACCGCGCGCTAGCGCTGCCTTTCAGCCTGCACGCCGCATACTTCACTTGCTTCTCTGGTTCAATCTCCATATATTCGAAGAAGGTTTCAACAGCCCTCTCCCAATCTAGGAAGTCTTCCATATGTAACTTGCCATCAAAAAAAGGTATGTCCAATTTTACACAGAATTCACCTGGGTATCGGTCCCTGGCATTCAAGCGGCGTCTTCGGATCCACACCGGTTCCTCTTCCGAATCTGTCAGCTCCCCCATTTTGAACTGTTGCAATTCTGCTTCCGAGTCTAAATCTAGTTGCCCTTGAATTTCTTGTTGTCGTTCTCTGTCCGTCACGAGTTCCCGTCTCACTACCGGTATGGTCGCCGGAGCTACCGTTCGAGCATTTAGATTCCGATCAAGACGAGCTTTAATCAACCTCAATTCTCGGCGCATTTCTCCAAATAAATGATCCAGACTGGCGGCGATCTCCTTGGTTCTTCTCGCCAACTGACGGTGCTCTGTCCATAGAGCTTCAAGGTCGTGATCCTCTCCGGAAGCCACCCGGTTGCTTGCATCTCCCATCCCGAGCTCTGATACCACTTATGATGAAGATCAAAACCTGCAAGGAAGAAATACAAAGCAAATAAGAGATAGAACAGTAACTATGTTCTGTTTGATATATGCAAAAAATGATCACTCTTCTACAGTTTCGGTGATATACCTATTCCCCTCTTCTGGTACTCTAAACGGGGACTGAAAGCTTAAAGGTGAAAATAGTACTACCTAACTAAATAAAGCAACTAAGATAGTGGGCACATGCTTGATAACTGTTAATGAGAAGGGAACCTAGACAAAGGCAAAAGATGCATCCTCTGCCAAGAATTCGAATGTGACGAGAGCATCGCCATCATCAAAGATAGAGCAAGCAAGCTTCTTCACTTGGTACTCTGCGGCGAGGATGGAAAGTATTGTGTTGGCGGTGACGAGGGGCGGCTCCTTCTCAGGGTCAGCGGTGGAGACAAATATGTCTACGCTGGGGAGGTCAGACTTTTCAGTGGGATTTGTAGAAGTGAGTATCTCGAACTTATCCTTGATGACAGATAGGTCGGTGGCACGGTTCACTGGGGCGAGAAGCCATGAGAATGCGAACTAGAGCTCGCAAAATATAGACATACCCTATAGCCAGATAGCATCACAATTCTTGTGCTTGATTCTCCATGCCAGGAATAGAATCAATACCTCTATGCGAATGAAAATTAGTAGCCTGCATTTGTAAGCACACACATTAGAACAATATATTCTGAAATTACTTGCTTGCAACAGTTAGCATATCGTAGAAGAGAAAGGAGTTTAAAAAAAAAGTTTGAACTATCCTAAACGAAGCCTATAAATATATTTTTTTTGCAAAAAAATCAGATAGCTGCTTTCTCACAACTAAATGCTAATTTGGAACATTTTTCTTACTGCTTTACAAATAATGTTTTAGTGTAAAAACTTTTAATTCAAAAAACTTTTGTACTGAAAAAACTATTTTAAAAATTATTAAAAAAATTTATCCCGAACAAAATCTAAAGCTTCATTTGAAACTGCTTTCTTACTTTTTTTCTAAAGTAGCTTTCTAGTACCCAATATTGAATAAAAATTTTTCTTGCACTAAAAATCTGCTTTACAAAACAAGAAAAAGTTATCTCAAACGAAGCTTCAGATAGTAAATCTGGTTGTAAAACATACTTATATGCAAATATTTTTTTTTTTAATAAACAAGAACACAAAAAAAAAATTCAAACAAAAACTATGTTTACAATTTGATAAACTAAGAGTTGAAAAAACTACTCCATACAAGCCTAATTCTACAATAATAACAGTACCATCATCAAGCCTTTATCCCAATATGTGGGATCAGCTACATTAATTCCTTTTCACCATTGTGTTCTATTAAGAATCAAATTCTCATTTAAATATAATAAAGAAAGAACACCCCTAATTCTACCTCCCCACCAAAAAAAAAAAGTTTATTCAAAACAAATGAATATAATGCCAATAAAATTTATAAATAAGCTAATATTATAGAACATTAAATAAAAATAGACCAAAAAGGTTAATAATTTTAAATCCCTAATAAATTAATCTTTATATTATAATATTAAAAATAGAACACATACAATTTCTATCTCCACTAAGAATTTAACTCCACTATTAGCTCATTATAGTCAGCTTTTTAATGTGTTATATTAGTTAGCTATTAAAAATTAGGTGATATAGTGTGTATATTTTGTAAGCCATACAAACAAAAAAAAACCCTCAAATTAAATGAAAGATTTCATTTAAGATGCATTTTTGTTGTTTTATAAAATTATTTTTTAGTACAAAAACTTCTTGAAAATAGAGAAAAAATAGTGACCTAAAATTGTCTCGAAAAAAGTCTAAATCTCCTTTTGTGTTTGAAAGAAAGATGAATTTAGGATCATTAAAAAAAAATTTAGAGTCATGATTTAATAAAAAATCAGTAGATTTACTTTTAGATGAATGTAATATGAATTTTATACATATTAAATTACTTTCAAAATAAATCAAATGAATTTGAATTTTTTTTAGAAGCCAATTTGATTCAGAATATCCTTAAAAGATGTATTGTTATTTCAAAACTCATTGCATGAAATTAGAAATAATGTTTAAAAAATGATGAAATTTGTTAAATTAATTTGGATTTAGTTACTCATGAAAATTATTTTCAAAATTTTCTCAAAAATAAATTTATTTGAGAATTTAGATATATACCACATAATTTTTATTTATGGATATATCTAATACTTAAATTTATATTTACTTTTATAATGTTGTGGTGTCTAAATTATATCAAAATAGATGAATGGAAAAATGATGTTTAATTTATAAATCAATATTAATGATATATTTTATTTTATTTTCATATTATGATGTTACACAAGTCAATAAAAAAATGATTTATGATATATAAATACTTATGACATGCATATAAATTCTGATTCATTTTTATTTTGAAAATGTAAAAATGAATAAAAATAAACATCATAATTTTTTAAAAATAAATTTTCTATTTTCAATCAAACAAAACAACCCATACAACAATAAAGTGAAAATGACCCTTTTTCAAATTCCCTCTCCAATAGGAGAGATTATTATGTGCAGACACCGGACGGGAGAACTGTACAGTATTTTGAGGTGACGTGACGCATTTTTATTGGTCTCTAGACGACACACAGACTCGCACAAAATAAAAATTTCTCCAATAGGAGAGATTATTAAGCTTCTTCCTATCTTATCCATCGGCTTGAGCATATCCAGCATTTTTTTTTCTAATATCCTTAATTAGGATTAAGCATATCCAGCATTACTAGCCTATAACCAAGATCTTTATCTACTGAGGGCATCTCCGACAGAAAATCTCATTTTTCACTCCAAAATGTCGTAAAACTAAAAATTGCCGTGATTCATCTCCAATCGAACTCCATTTTGCCCGTAACGGTCGTTCACTTCTTTCGCTCGTTTCTTCAGCAAGTTCAATAGATACCAAAAAATGACGAAGATGAACAGTATAACACCAATATTGACGTTGCACTGTTCATCTGTGATGAAATGACGTAAGAATTGCTGCTCGGTTGGAGCGATGGAAGAACAGCAAACCCGTTTCATTGGAGATGCTCTGAATGCACGCAAGAGCTTTCGTCAATTTATTTTTCAGTTGATATCATTTTATCTTATGATTATGAGATAAATAAAGAATCTAAAACCAATGACCAATCTGCTGGTCGATTATAAAATCTAATGTAATAAGATGGCTAAAAATCATCCTTAATTGAAGCAAAGTGGTTAAAAATAGCAATGACAATTAAAACCTATAGAACAGAGCAAGAACAGAGTAATCTCACCTGTAAGGATTAAGGATGTCCTCCAGAATCTTAACTTTCTAGTCAGCGGCTGCCACGGTTTGCTCACAAAATCTTTAGCAAGCCTGTCAGCACCACCACTGCCGTGGCCGAATGTCACCTTTGGCGGCCCCGCCGCCGTTGGTGCTGTTGGAGGCTTCCCCCGGGTTTGTTCCGGATA